GTTATAGATGATACGGACTGTATATATATAATATTTGTATATTATCATAAAAATTAAAATCGAAATTTGTTTTCATTAACGAATGTGTTTAATATTATTATAATGATTGCATGCGTATTCGACAATTTAWATTTTTATAAATATCGCTATTAAATACTTTTTTGCTAATTAAATCAATTAGGTAGGTGCATTATAAACGAGTAGGTCAAATAAATATCACTCATATATTTTCTAAGCCAGTATAGTGCTAGATATATCAATTGACCAAATGAATCCAAACATAAAAATTAAACTAAATTATGTTTTTATATTTTAACATCGGTTGTCTTGTAATTATTCGAACAACTCAATTTGTTTGGGTTTAACTAATTTAAATTTTATTTATATCGTTGTACAATATTTATTATTTTACGTCGTATATTGTGCTAAACTGATAAATAAATAGTTTTATTTAAATAATATAATATAGATTATCAGTAAGTTATGACCAATTATTGTTTTATTTATATACATTTTTAATAACGTTCTTATAGGACTTCAAATAGATTGAAATCATAAAATATAGTGACAATAATAGTTGTAAATATATAATTAGATACTTTATTAGTAGGAACGTACAATTTGTGTTATGTAGGTATCAATAGACCCAAAATCGAACAATTTTATTATACAACACTGACTTCGAAAGARATAGGTACTAATATTTAAGTGAAAATCAATTTCAAAAGAGCTACGTTTGACCGAGTTGTAAGGTTTCTTCAGCTGATATGAAGTCGTACGATACTCTCTTAATCGTTACCTACAATAAATTCAACTTATCAAAAAAAAAAAAACAAATTAAAATATAAGAAGTAAACTAGGATAAATGATAATACATTTTTATTAACACGCTGTGTTATTTACTTATTTCTTTATTTTGTTCACGTGGTTTGTATAATACTTAAAAAGAGTAACGTAAAAAATTAAAAAGTACCCAGGTGTGGTTGTCGCACTGAAAGTAATCACAATTGCGTTAGATTTAATAGCCGAGCCCGCGTAAGTACAAATTGTTTGCAATAAACATAACTGCTTCGATGACATCATCCGAACAATTTATTTTCACGTTTTAACGGATAGTCACTGTTGTATAAAAATCAATTGAGCAATTTTTCAAATTTTTTTTAAAATTAAGAACTTTATTTATTTTTCTAAATAAATTACCTACAACTAAAAAAGGTGCACAATGTAATTATTTGAAATTAAACATGAAAATAAACTTTGAGTGGTTTCAGAATCAGATTGCGATTGCTTATTTTAATTGTTAAAATATTAAATATTTATGCCATCGATTTATATAAATCATTTTATCACTTGTAAGCTAAATCTTATACGTAAAACTGCATTGGAAAGTTCAAAAAAAATGTTTTATATTGTTWATTTTAAAATATTCTCCGCAGCTCAGCGGAGAAAAAATACAACTTTGTCGACGAGGGTGTGTGTTTGGATTACCCCGCTATACGCTTTTAGTATATTCGCCATCGTTGAGCAAAGCGCATTCACCTTTTCTCTCTTTTAATTTTTTTGATATGTCGGAACTTAAACACAAATATGTTAGTAAATTATTTTAATTTGAGCCGTTTATTCAGTAACTGAAAATAAGGTATGCATGTTATTATAGCAAATTAATGCACCTACAGATATAAATATAATTAATTTTTTTTATAATATGATTTGTATATTGTAACTTGTAACTTGTAAGGTTCACTATTGGTCTATAGAGGTATTTACAAATAATTTTAATTTAATTGTTATTGAAGCTATTACAATATATTTTTATTAATTTATCCATSCAAATTTTGGAATATAACCATAACGTTTTTCAACCATTTTAGTATTTTAATAAACTACTTAGWAAAACGATGAAATTAAAACATATACTTATATTGAATTATAATATACTATGACTATGGTTCAATAATAATACACTATTTTTTTTATTATTGAACCATAATTTCACATTTAATTCATTCTGTMTGCTCAGTCTATGGCTACAATAATCGTATTTTTCGTTCATTAATTCATTTAAAATGTTAAATCTAATTGTCCAAGTATTACATAAATAATCATTGGTACTATAAATRCTAAATTGATTTGTTGAACTGMTCTACAACCTAAAAATTAACCATCTAAATGATAAACATATTAGGGAAAAACCGTATTTAAATGTTAGGTATTTTACTAACAATAATATTATWATACGTGATCGCTAATTAAATAAACCATTTAATATTAACTAACTATAACAGATGTTTTCATAATCACATAAGTACTACCTATATGTAATATCTGATAAGACATTATAGTTGCACAGTTATTTAATTACTAA